TATTCTATTTTGCTTCATATTTTTATAAGTACCTAACTATCTACAACAACGCTGGATGTGATATGTGATAACTGATAAATGTAAGTTTAATATACGTATTATACAATTATGTTAATGTAATTAAAAGTGTGTTAAAAAAAAAACAGAATTTCATCATATTTCAAATTACCGCTTTAATTTTTATACAAGGGACTCAATTTACCTTTTTTTTTTTTTAGGTTGGGACTCAGTTTACCTAAAATTAATAAAATGGTACTCAATTTACCAAACCCGGTCGGGTGGCCTAAGTCACGAACGTTCCACGTGCTGACCTCCCATGCCAAGTTCACCTGAGGTTGGATTCGACGGGGCTAACGGTGTCAATGGAGAAGTAGACAGGAGTCCAAAAATCGAGCAACCGAACCCGTGCCCAGTATCCTAAAGGTTAGGTTAGTTCCTATTCATTGTGAGGAGGTACATGCCGGACACACTCGGACAGCTCCTACGGGTTACTAGTAACGGTTAGGACGGAGTGTTTACCTCTTCGGGGTGTTGTAACCTCTTTAGAGACACACAAATATTATTAAAGATTCCTATCGAATTTTGAATTTTTTAATATTTTTACAGAGCACATTAAAAATTTAACAGAATATCTACTTTTAATTTATCGTTCAACATCAGAAATTCTTAGAATATATTCTATATACTATTTCTAGCATACTGGTTAATTAAAAAAAAAAAAAAAACCAAAAGCAAACAAACAACTAAATATTTTTGAAAAATATTTAAATTTCACAACTAAGTAACATTGCAAACACAAATAATGACAGAAACAATGACTTATTGATTTAATATAATTCAATAGTATTAATATATCGATACGATTCAAATAAAATAATTGTAAAAACAAATTATTGTAATTTTTAATAATTTTATTCTTGTCATAAGCATTATTAGATTGATATGAACTAATATTTAGCATTCAGCTTAGTAAAATAAATTAATTTAATGCATATTTGCTATTAATATTTATTTACAGTAGAGGACTGTTGTTGTTAAATACCAAAATATTCCTTTTAAATATAGGTTTCAATAAGTGTATAATAATAAAAGCTTATTCTATTTGTTTTTTTTCAGAAATGAATTTGTTCCTTCCAAATAAAAATAATAAAACACAAGAATACATTTCTACGGTCCATTGTTTAATTACAAATAAATCAGTAAATATTTTTGTTTTGTTATTATTTACTGTTCAACAATATTTATTATTTAGTCGTATACTCTCAAAATAAATATACTTTTCCAAAATATACACACGGTCGAGTTACTATAATTCGACTCCGAAGAGAAAGCGAAAAAATTCGAACTATTTGTATATAAAATTACAGTTTCGATCATTAGAATAAAATAATTTATGGTTAATATTAAAATACTGTTATTTTTCAATAAATTTCAGAATTTTGAGCTCAAAAAAATATATTATAACTGTATAACCACAGTATTGTAGTAATACAGAAAAAGGGTTAAATATGGGATGAACTTTAAGAGTTCTAAAAGTGAATTTCTTAAATTCTTACCTTTATTTTACTTCTCGTACAACATATAGATCTTGAGTTGACAAATATTTTAAAATAATTAAACGCACTTAGAAATATTTAAAATTCAGATACGATTGACAAATCTCGTCAATACTCCACAGGCGTACAATGAAAACGTGTCGATCCTCTTCGTATGGTGACCAGTAACCGAACGACGCTCTTGCTGGCGAGACAGGCCTATTTATGCCCTTTGGAGTATTGACAAGATTACTCTTCTTACCGTCATTTATTGATGATTATTATAATGCTTTTACAATTTCAGAAAATGTCCTAATACTAATAATGTAATATTTATGGTGTTATCTTTTGACATTTGTTTGATTATTTTGTGTGATGTTAGCCGACATCAATGAGGAATATGGAGGTGATTTTGATATAAATGAAATGTGTTTATTAAATAATGATAATGTAACTATCCGATAGTTTATTGATGCCGTTTTAGATAGTGATTTATTTTTTGATATAGTTGTTATTATATTAAATGTCAAAAGATATATAGTTAAAATTAATTTAATTTACTAATTACTAATACTAATATACATATGAGTCACTAATGTTATGTTTTACAATATTATAACAGTACGAGTATATATCGTAATTTAATTATATAATATGTTAAGCTTATGTATATAAATTATATTGATATACATTATATACCTACATGATAAATCCAATAGATACACAAAAATCCAAATTTCAAAAAGAACAAAATTAGAAAATCTGTTTTCAATTATACGAGTATAACAGTAGATAAAATTAAGTATACACTCTTTCATTGGTAAATTTAGAAATTTTAATTACATTGAACCAAACCATTATAAACTTTGAAAGAAAATAACAAATGTATAGGAACACGTAGTTTCACAAAACTATTTTTTAAACAAAATATCGAAACTAAAAATAACAATAGATGTAAAATGATTTCCATTGTTCTTCGTTTCGATCCAACGATCTTTGTTTCATTTATCATTTCAATTCATAAAAATATTAATTCTAATAACATTGACACTTGCCGATGTGTATAGGCTCGTTTAAAATTTTGAAATTCCAATGGATCGATACGTTTGAATATTCCGTTGCGTCGGCAGAGCAAGAGGCTTTTGATCTCGTAGTCAATGGGTTCAACCCTCACGTTGAGCGCTATTTAGAGTAACGGAAAATCTAACGTCGATAACTGATCAAGAGGACATGTACGTGTCGAACAACAAGAGCAGTTTCGCACATGTGCGGTTATTGGCGATGGCAGTTTCATACGTTTGCGGGTCAAGTAGTTTATGACGTTCTAATGAGTTTTAAAAAGGGTATAATGCGTGTGATATGTTTGGTTACAATAATGGCTATGAAACTAGGTATATTAGATATTATTAGATATGAATTAAGTTTGTTAGGTACATTAGATCCGTAGCTACCCGTACCTTCTGCTTTTCCGTATGTTGTGCGACTACCAAAGAGAAATTCTCTGCCGTATGTACTATCTTTAAATGCACTTATCTTTTATCGGTCTAATAGCCAATAATTATATTTGGTAGATGATCGTCGCATCCCTCTATGTTTCTTTGTTCTTCTATAATGGATCTGATACACGTTATAACTACTTAACTGACTTTCTGTGTCGACGTTAATCCGTTATACTTTCGCTATCGAAAAATCCAATCACTCGTCAAAAAAGACTAAAATAGTGTATAGATAATTTTAAATGTAATAAGCTAATTGATAAATCTTAGAATGAATGATAGTTCTGAGAGAGACCCCTTGTAGTAACGTGAATCGACTATAAATCAATAATCGATAAAGTTAATTTACAGAAGATTTGTAATTATGCTTAAAGGATTGATAGCAAGTAAAGAATAGATGTTTTTGAAATTTAGGTACTATAAAACGTTAAAGTTTATACTCTTATTTGGAAATCATTGTGCTTTGATTTTTTTCCAAATTTTAAATAAAAAAGCTACATAAGTCCCTATTCGGTGGTATAATAGTAAAAAATTGGGATTTATGCAAATATTTGATCTATATGAAAAATAATACAATACCTGCTAAAGCAAGATTCCAACCAAATATAGAAAAATTGTTTAGAAAAAATGATAAATATAAACAATTTACGGTTTACCTTGACTTTTTTTATTCAGCATAATACTGAGGGATGTCCTTTCCTTTTTTATGCTTTTAGCTAATCAGGGCTAATGGAGGGTATGATGATTTTTAGAAAATATGAATTACTTTGCTTGGGAGATTGAGGAATACAGCCATTTATGATTATATTTTTTATATATGTACAATGTACCATATATTCATCGTATATTCTGTGTTTTATTTTATACGAATTTATTTTATTTTATATGAATGTAAATTTTTCAATCGCTGATATGTGAAAGCTTATTTAATATTACCTTTTTATTGCATTCAACTGGTGCACTTTAAAAATTACTGCATTGCGTTGGTGCTTACATTTAATTTAAATATTAAATCATACATAATATGTTATCACTCCTTTTCAAATGTAATCGGACAAAACCTATTGTGACTGTAGTGACTTCATATAATATATACAAAACATGATGATCTTAAATATGTTCGTTTTACAATTTTACAAATGTTTAACAGTTCAGCTACGCTATAAAAATTATATTTTAATATCGTCTTATAAATTATTTATAATTTGTATTGTCAAAAAAAAATCGAGATAAAATGTAACGCTATACTACATAGTTCTCGTTAAACCATACGTTGTTAAACTTTATTGAATAAATAACCGACATAAATAATTCAATTTTTTTAAACAATCAGTTGTGGTTTATCTGACATTAGGTACGTATTTTATTTCGGGTAGATATAGCTTTACAAATGGATATGACTAACGCATTAAATTGATTAATATTGTCCGAACATTATGATAAATTATAGTACCTACAAGAATTGTCATCATTTACTCGCCACCGTTAATTTATTATTTCGTTTTAAAAGTTGGTGCTTTTTGTGTTCATATCCTCAACGGGTTTAATACTCCAAATCGAGTTTTTATGACCCATAACAGATATAAATTTCATACAAGTATTTCAATACAATATTAACTAAATGATTTTGTAACATACACGCAATATCCATACATTAAATCGTATTTTATGCTCACCGAATGTGGTAAACTAGTGAACTAATAATTTTATAATGTATTGATAATTTAATAGTAAAAACAACACCTACAACTGATGAAATAAATCAGTTTTTCCAATTTAATTTTTTTTAAATATACGATAAAATTGCTTGCAAATATATTGGAGGTATATTTCTAATTTATCACATTTAAAACATTCAAACAAAGTATTTAGTGAATACTGGAAACATAACATGTTAAACAAAATAAATATTTAAAAAAAAGAAATTAGCATTATCATTTTTATGCAAACAATTTTATAACTTCTTCCAAATCAAATTTATTTACGTTTTTTTTTTCGTGACAACTATTTAAGTCGAATTAAAGAAATACGCATTTTTTCAATACTCGTGTAACTTGAACTCCTTCTGTAACCTATATTGCTGTGCTTAATATTTAAATCATGTCCACCTTAAAACGATTCTATGTACGTACCAAGACACGTACTAACTTGCAAGGCCGTAACTGGAAAAAAATTTCGGGGGGTCTAACATTATTATTTAATACAATTTATAGTTAATAAACTATATTCACCGCTAAAATTTTTCTAGTTTGAAAATTTCGGGGGATCCCCTGGACCCCCCCCCCCCCTTACGGCCTTGTTAACTTGTACATACTCGTTTGACACACGTGTTTTTTTTCCACAGGGATGTAAATGCGAAAGAGAAGCAATATCGGTGGCAGCAGTATGAATAAAAGCCGCTGATGAATCCTGTTCAACATATTCATTTCCAATATGCAATCGGTTTGGTTTTATTAACATCTCGTTTTGCGACCCCATAATGACCGTACTATTATACTAAAATAATAACATAAATTCTAGGGACAATGATAAAAAACAAGAATAGAAACTCACATGTGTGATTCGCGTTGATAGTCGTTTAAAAGCTCGCTGATCGAATAGTTTATAATGCCCAAAAGGCTGTAAAAAGGATACTTTTTTATTTTGTACATATACATATACATCTGTACATATGCAGTTGTAATACAGACTTTACGTGCCAATTTGAATCCATCGTACTTTCATTAACAAGATAGCCAATCACGTATTCATCAAAGAAAACTAGAACAATGTAAAAATAATCATATACGTGATAAACTAATTATTATAAATAAATATGAAATCTCAGAAGAAAGAATAGTGCATGTTTTGAAATCGTTCACGGTAACACGAGTCGATTGCAAATCGATAATCAACGCAGTTGCTCACAGTCGAAGGAATAGCGATTATGTTTGACGGATAAGTAATAAAGCAAAAAAACTGAAAGCATTAATTATAAACATGTAAAAATAAGTGTGAATAGTGAAGACTAATTGCGGGGACGTCATGCCTATTTATATTTGGCATAATTTTCCTTTGATGAGTCCAAGACATAAGCCCAATCGAGAATGCGCTAATCTATGATCGATCTTAATTGGTTCGCTTAGTGAGTGAGAAATGCGACTGGGCGTTTTATTTTGGAAACACACAGTTATTATTAGGGCTAGGATTTCGATAAACTTTGTATTTTTTTCTGAAGCTTTTTGCACGATACTCATTTTGTTACAAATTTGTTTTAGGTATTTTTAAATTAGAATAAGAAATTTAATTTTGCATATTTTAACAATTTTTGATTTAAAGGTAATTTTTCTCATTTTTTAGGGCATTTTAGGGGTTTTTAAGTCATTTTTGCTGTTTTTGAATTTAAAATTAAAGATTTTAGATTATAGATTTTTTCTACCGACGGATTAGCGTTGGTTTAAGGTACGCAATGTAAAAGTTGCTGCTGAAAAACTTTTTACCATTCAACAACATAAACTAAGAGACAAACATATAAATGGAGTACAACGAAGAGAACAAATTGCAGAACAAAAAAAAAAAATATGTCCCAAAGTTTTATTGCCGATACATTAAGTCACATAAACAGGTCAGAATAATTTTTAGATTTAACTCGTGTCTTTCTTTCGTGTAATATTCCGTTAAGTAAGCTCGATAATTCTAAGTTACGTTCATTTTTGGAATATATTTTAAATGGAAAAAAAGGTACACAAAACGAATTTACGGATGATCTTAAAACGAGTGATTTGACGTATTTAAAATAATCGCCTATAACTTCAATAGATGTAGAAAGGAGCTGTTCTATCTACAAAAACTTATTGGCGGACAACAGGAGGGCATTGCTATTTGAAAACCGGAAGAACGCTCTCGTGATTCAGTATATCAATAAAGAACAATTTTTTTATTCATTAATAATGTATGAAGTAAAATAAAATATTTATGTACACGTAATGTAATTGTTTTTAAATACATTTTGTTGAATTTTTTTTAGGCGCCGAAACCCGCACCGCGTGCGAAAAACTGAAACGCGGTATCGTGGTGTTTGCGCACAGCCTCGGCGGCGGTGGTGGCGACGGTGCGCGGGTATGCCGGGTGCCGTGCGTAGCCGTCGTAAAAGCACGGGTTGATTAGGCAGTCGATTTTCTCTCGTTTGTTAAAAAAAAACAAAAACAAAACAAATAAACGGATAATAAAAAAAACATACCGAAGGTTAACGATCTTGCGTAACCGGCCGTTTTAAACGTTATGTCTCCGTGTGAATACGGCATGCATAATGCCCCAGGACGGTTTCACTTTCGTGTAATACATTTGTAAAGCACACGTACGTCCTCCTTTGAACGTTCGACGCGTACACAACGTATCCATCACGACGTGTTCGCGCGCGCATGCGCGTGTAGTTCTAAAACAAAAAGTGTAATATTTAAATAAGGCATTGTGTAGTCGTTACGTGGCGTATGTGTGCACTGTGCATCGCGTGCGCCGTGTCGCGGTGCACGTACATGTACCGGGGGTGGGGGGGGGCGTGCTCCATTGTTAGTTACTGCGTCCGCAGTACACGCATAACGTTGGGAATAACCGCGTCTCCGGCGCGCATCTCACGTCGTGCCCGCGCTTTATCCGACGCGTCTGCTCGTCGGGGGAGACTTTGAGACTGCGTCTCCCCTTAAAAAAAACAGCTACTAAATACTATTTGAAAATGTGTAGAAATATTTTTATTTTTATTGAAAATTTGTGTTAGCGTTTTCTATATTTGTCATTATAAATTTAAAGCCACAAAACATAAGACCTATAAACGGTTATTTCGATGGAAACAATATTTTAGTCATTTCGACGACGGTCGCCGTTCCGTTGAAACTGATGTCCGACAGGTTCAATCGTAACACGTAATGGTCTGGCTTGTTGGACGGCGAGAATAATCCGCGTATTGTAGACGTTATTGAAATTGGGTTCACGACAATTATTTCCGTACCATCGGGCCGTTGTTCGCAGTTAAAAAAAATTCCAGAATCGAATTAGTTTATGAACAAATGTACAATTAAACTAAAAGTTAAAAATATTAACTAAATATTAAATAAAGTATTAAGTACGATTAATTTTCCAATAAAAGGGTTTTTCTTGTTCGTTGTTGTATGGAATATATGTTAAATAATTTAAGTCTCCCCAGTACGTTAACTACGAGCCGCTACTGCGTCCGCTCGTTCGTGTGCCGAGCGAGAGCGATACGCCGCATGCTCCTACCGCGCACGGGTTTTCGACTTGAACGCGGTGTACGATTGATAGTGTAGCATCGGTGGAGTCGAATGTTGACCATTTGCATCATTACGTTTCCGATAGGCGAAAGACGAGATATTGAACAAGTTTTTCGTTCGGGTTATCGCCAGCATTCCTTATTTGTTACGATGTTGGTTCATCACCGTCGTATTCGTATGTTCGTCCCGTTAAACACCTAAACCGATGGTTTTCGCTTTTACGTTGTTTAACCGATTGATCTGCTGAGACACTGCTAATGATGGTGATGGCTATAGCACAGATAATTCCGTGCATTTGCATATTTTTATTTATTAGTCACAAAAATGTATAGTTTCATTTATTTGTTTTTGTGTGCAGTTCATGACCAGCAACTAATAACTCTGCGTATCGAATTACGCTTTTAAAATGTATACATATTTTAAAACTTTTACATTTCCGTGAATATTTTTAGATTTTTTTGGATTTTAATTGTTTTTAACTCATCAGTTTTTCAATTTTTTTTTACTTAATCTTTTGACATTCAGACAATACCCTATGAAAAAAAAAGTTCACTTGATATTACCAAATCAAATTAAAGTAAATGCTCACACCAATAGTTGCGTTCCATTACACGTGCAATACATTACCGTGGTTTGTAAGCTCAACAAAAATCTCATTTAAAAATAATGATTTACTGAAATAATATTAAAAACGAATAATTTTGTGTTACTTGATCATCGAAGTATAAGCAATACGATTTATCAACGATTCTGCAACTGGTGACCACGGTCCAAATCCGAATCGACAGATAACTACGGACCGTCAACATAATATAACCTTACTATTAATTATTAAGTTATTAAATTATTTTCATTATTTATTAAAAAATAAAAATAATAATAATAATAATATTTTATTTGATTTATCGAACTCGTATTAAGACTACCTATTAATTGATAGTGTAATTTATTCTTAAATATATTTTAGTTATAAATATAGTAAATAACTATAATAAAATATAATATTTTCTCCAAACCTCGTTTATTTATTATTTTTATTTTTCGGACTCCAATAGAAATTGCTTTCCGACCTCTGTTAAGTTTATACGATATTAATATTCCATACACGAAAAATTTAACTGTCAGATTTGGGATGACATTCTCATTCCACCAATATGATCGGCAGATTTTAACTGTCAGTACTAAACATATTCTACGTATACACTATCATTCCTGATCTGCCAAATTATCCCGCCTCCTTGAAATATAACGACTCGATTTGTAGCTTTCTGTTCAAAACTGTCAACTTTCCTACAGTAATGAAACATCCCTTAATTTTTCGGTTTGTTAGAAATATTTTTTGCCATTCCATATCTCTTACAGAACGTCTGATAATTACTCTTCGGTTTATATGAACTGGTAACAGTTTCGAAGATTTAAAATTTCCCGCTGAAATAGCGGCCCAAACATTGGGGTATATAATTCCAAAAACTGATGTAACTTTGTATGATATATTAAAATATAAATATATGAAGATTATTAAATGTATGAAGGTAAAATATTTAATAGTTATTATTTGAGTTACCTAAGTAACATTAAACTTTGGTTTAATAAGTTCATAAAATTATTTATCTTGTAAATTGTAAAATGTACATAAGTAACAAATTAAAACATAAATTCTTATTTATTTTAACATAAAAAATAGAAGTTTACAAAAAGAAACTTTTTTTAAACTATACATCGGACAAGAAAAAGTTAAAAATAAAATAAAAGTGCATTAAAATAATTAAATAATATTTTTAATATTATGTACCATTAAAAAAAACTAAAATAAAATAGTCTATTATTTATAAATTATTTAATAAATTCTCTATTATTTAAGATGCTGTTTGTGTACTCCTTACTTTTTAATCGCCATAAACAAATATTTTAAAAATTATTTGGAAATTTGGAAGCAAATAAATCACGCAGAAAGAAAGAAGAAGAAATAAATATTTTGCAATTAATAAATTTTACGAGTAAGACCTTACTCCACTCGGAAAAAGATATAGTAATAAAAAAAAGTGTATAAAAGTAAGAACACATTAAAATGTTAACAGAAAACCGACGACATATCTGGCACATGTATTTACGTTATTTTGCAAACAACAAAAACTGTGGCCGTACTCCTACAAGTCGATTATAATATTTATCTGCCATTAATATCTTTAACGACAACGTTGGATTTTCGGTCCGTAATATTTTTATCCCCTACAGGTTGTATATCAATCAGGCCAATTTAGTTACACGTCGAAGGACATAATTTATGGTAAAACTGTTTATACTGTCATTGTTTGAATACAGGCTTCCTCCCGCGACCAGTGGCGTCCTTAGACCCTTTTATAGTGGAGGAGAAAACTTTTATACACGATCTTACAGTGTACTTTTATGTATTTTCCCAGAATGATATCAATAACAAATAACAAACATTTGAAGAAAAATAAAATCCATAGGGAGGGAACGACTACCCTGTGTACGCCCCCGCTCAATAAGACGTGTTAACATTTTTGTTTACGAATTAATTACCGGCACTACTTTTTTGCTCCGCACGGTCGTCGGCATGAGCGCTGATTCGTTGACGATAAAATGACTATTTAATCCGGAGGCCAGGTAATAATAATGATAATATATTTGACGGTCCACGAGAGGCGAATCGTGTGAGAACAAATCAGCCGCCTGACCTCGGGAAACGAGTGGTGCTGTTTTGTAACTACGTGCTCGGATATTCGGACGATAAGCCAAACGAACGGACGTGACGGACTACGGTCGTGACCGCAAAGTCTTCGGACGTCGACGGCGACGGTGTCAGTTGGGTTTTGCTGGGCTCTCGGGACGTTTACGCGCTTTTCGGGACGTCCGGGACGAAAGGCCGGCGACCAAAGCGTGTACCGGACCCTACTAGAGCGTGCGTCATCGGCACAACACCGACGAGGAAACGACCGGAGGAGCGGGGACCGCGGTGGTCGGCTTCACGCGGCGCCGTTTGTCGATTGATGATTTTCAAGATCGCTTACTGCAGCCGCGGCGACGGCCCTACCCGCTGCGGAACAGCGAAAACAAAAATCCTATCCGACTCGTGATGAACGACAATTAGACGCTGTAACGACAACAATGCACATCGGGTGTATCGGGCGGTGACGTCAAAACCGACGGCGACCACCTCGCGCAAGGTCGCACTGGCACTGTACGTGGGGGGACACGCGGTCGCTGTCATCACCGGCGCGCGCGCTCACCGCGGGCTCGAACTTGGAACGATCGTCGATCGACGCGCGCGTGATACGCTCAAACGATCCACGACACGCGCGCAACACCGTCCACATCGACCACGCACGTCGGGCCGTCGTTACTGTTGCCGAGCACCACGGTCACGCGCCGATCCGTCGTTGCTATTTCGCCGTGCGCTTTATCGCAGCAGCAGCAGCACCAGCGGAAGCCAGTGACGGTCGCTGACGGCCACTGGACGACCACCGCGGACAGTCGCGCGCCGCAATGAAAACCCCCGGGACGCCGCTGATCGCGTTCCACTTGGTCGCGGCCGCGTTGGCCGTCCTCCGGCGATCGGCCCACGGTAAGTACGAGTGTTCGCCGAAAGTTCCGCACGGGCACCTGCGAAACGCTATTCAAGCAGGGACTCGGGGCCGCCGAAAATTACATGTTTGCGTAAGGTTGCGGTCGTCTACCCACATCGTTAGTCATGGTTATAGTTAAGTTATTTAGTTAATCTGTTTTTCGACCCGCGGCTTAACATTAATATTACTTCGACTAAGATCGAGTCTCCGATCTTACGACTTTCCAAGTCCAATGATTAAACCAAACGCAGGGGACGGAGCAGGAGAAAATCACGTGCATGATAAGTTCCAGGATAATTGGTCGGAGAAACGGCAGCTGCGCGGCTCCTGGTTCCGTTCGTCTACAGCCACAGGATATACCAGAGTTGCACCAAAACGTCACAACCCCGACCGGGAGAACAATTCCCCTAATATTTGGTACCCATTCACCGTCACGATATCGCAAGGGTTTGCCGTTAAATCTTAGATCCAAAGAAGGATGTTTTTTTTTTTATATATCAACCCGTTTATTAGGTTGTCTCCAAATCGTCTTTTAATATAGTCTTCTAAGTTTAATTTCGAGTACATAAGACTTCCATACAAAATCTAATAGTACTAGAACTGCTATACGTCCCAGTTGGGCCGAGGAGTACCCATTTTGAGAATGGTGTTCTGGTATGTAATAGGATGTATGTAAGGGAGAGCCAATAGACTTTAATAATGTACCTATGTTTGTATTTTATTAAACTCCAAATTGAAAAAAACATAATAATATTGTTATGATAAAATAAAAAGTTGAATGATTCACTAACGAAATCGTCTAATTCGATTTGTATCGACGAAAACAATTTTTTTGAATAATTTAAAACGCTTGATAACTTTTTCAAAGATAAAAGTGAAGAATGGTATAATGGTATAATATATCACTCGAAGAACGTTGGTTAGATTAGCTTAAAATATTATAATGTGTATCGTAATAATTGTATAATAAAAAAATCAATAAAAGTTATGTCAACAGGAAAAAAATGAAAAAAAAAATTTGTCTTAGTTTTTGCCAAGTAAAATATGGTAACCCTAAATAGAACCGTCTACTTCCATTGCGGTCGACTTGACTTCAATTACGTTTCAGTAATAATTTCCATGCATATTCTCTATCTACACCAATTTTTCACGATACTAACTTTGAAATTTTTAATATTATTGTTAGGTAAAAACAATTTTTTCTTTTTCGAATTCATACATCTCTATGATGGTTTAAAAATTATATAATTATGCTAATAAAAGTGCTGTGTGAAGATATGTAGATTTTAATCTAATGTAAATTAGATTAAATCTAATTTATTGTATTATTAAAATAGATTTAAAGCTAAAAATGTATATTATAAGAACTATAGAAGAAAAGGCAAAAGTACCAAAATAAAAAAGGTATTATTTTCTATTATAAACTATAAATATTAACTTGATAATAAAAATAAATAACATTTATTAATTAATTAATTAACAAATAAAATTTTTTCAATATTCTTTCCGTGTTTGTATCTTATAAATGAACATAACTTTTATAATAGTGACTCTAGAAAATTTAAACGTTCAAAATTACGGTAAAATACAATTAAGAACGTTATTTTGGGTAACACGATTGAGAACGCTTGAGTTTTTTTTTTTTTCAACGTTACCAAATGCAATCGATCGATAATATGAGTACAATAATCTGTTGATATTTATCGGAATTTTAACGGATTAGCTGGATATTAATAGTAACTTAGATACCATATACGAGAAAATAACGGTTAGGCTTTGCAGTCGTCGCACAAACTATTCGTCTATTCGTATTAGATATTTTTATAAGTTCTACATATTTTATAATTTTTATATTAATTTTTTATAATTATTTCATTTTTATACATGTGTATTTCATAATTTTATAAGTACCACATATTTTACAATTTTTTTATACATACAGTATATTCCATAAGTCCCGTATCACTCTTGATATCTCCACGGAAAATCAATTTATTTAAACGCGGTTTTTTTACAATACTTAGTATAGAAATTCTGATTGAATGGCATAAAATTCAAAAATTCAAAAAAAAATTTTTATGCATTAAAAAATTTTCAATTTTTAAGATAGCCATTTTCTTGAGCATATTTTTTAAAACAGTTCAAAAAAAAAATTTAAATTGAATAAAAATTGACCAAGTTAGAGCAAGTTATGTTTTTGAATAATTATAATAATAGTTGTTACCTAAAAAATCACGATTTGCTTGATTTAATCAATCTCGATTAAAACGCTGATTTTTTATGGCAATTTGTAAATATCAAATTATTAGTGGAACTTTTAGAAAATATTAAAATTAAAATTCATATAATACTTTTAAACTTGATTGTTAATAGAAAAAAAAATGATTTTATTACATAAAAACGAAAATAATACATTACATTTTTTTTTTATAAATATTCGAAGTGAGCTCCATTATTTGTAACATAGAGTTGAAGTTTTTGGACCCAAGCGTTTTTAACATTTTCTAATGTCTCAGGTAAAATATTTTAAATATTTTATTCAATTTTGTCACGGAGATCAGGTAATGAACACGACGGGTACACAAGATTTTTCAAATAACCCCATACAAAAGAAATCCATTGGTGTTAAGTCGGGTGACCTAGGTGGCCAAAACACTGGATTATTGAAATGTGAAACAATTCATTTTTTTGTTATAATTATTCAAAAACATAACTTGCTCTAACTTGGTCAATTTTTATTCGATTTTAATTTTTTTTTTTTTTTTTTTTAAACTGTTTTAAAAAATATGCTCAAGAAAATGGCTATCTTAAAAATTAAAAATTCTTAAATGCATAAAAAATTTTTTTTGAATTTTTGAATTTTATGCCATTCAATCAGAATTTCCATACTAAGTATTGTGAAAAAAACTGCGTTTAAATATATTGATTTCTCGTGGAGATATTAATTTTTTATTCATATTATATATAACGTATTATTAGGCGCTTATTTGTATATGATTATAATTATTAGTTTATGACTTTTTTTCAAGAATATTTATTGTATGTATACTGAATTTTTCAAAAACCAAATAAATGATCTAGCGAACTATGACAACGTTGCACATAAATTGTTCTCAATCGTATCGTATTTTGAGTTTTTTTTGGGTCAGCGGTTTGTTCTTTGTTAATTTTAAGTGTTCTCAATCGTTCGATAGCCCAAAATTATTGTCCATTTGATAGTAGGTAGTAACAGTCATTACCAGCACATACCTACATTTATTATCAAGCCATGATGATATTATTATGAATGATGTAAATTCATGATGTTTTCTTTTTCTTTATGAACTTCAAAAAAGTCATTAAAAATATTTACTCTTTCTATTTGTTTTCATGATTTATGTGACATTTTATATATCTCACTACGACAATCTTTGACTTCATATTATTTATTTAATAAACTAATATACCATATATATATATATATATAATTCTAATTTAGATGATAATGTTTCAGTAATCTGTGTGTTGTATACATTCATTTTTTCTAATAGTTATAAATTAAACATAGGTATTTTTAAAAAAATAAATGTATATGAATAAATATTATAGTTTGACACGAATGCATTTTACCAATAGTACTAAGTAAATGTATAAATGTCGTTGTACTTATAACTAGTAATAAGTAATACATATTCAGTGTTCACACGTTATGTTTATGTAAAACATAAAATTTAGTAGGTAACATCACGATTACTATTAATGACCAGATTTACTAGAACATAGATTTTTAAATTATTTTATTTAAATTTTGATATGAGATTTTTTTTTATTTCCTGTTAATTTTAGTTATTAATTCTACTGATAATACATTATTTTTATATTTATGTCACATGAAAAAACTCGAAAACTTTATTAATATAAAGTTTCTCAGGAATTTTAACTTATTTCACTCACAATTTCATAAAGTTTCTTTGATTCTGTGAACATAAGCAAACTTATTACTAATTAATAACTAATATTTTATACTATATTCTTAGAGCTTAATCTAAAATCTTAATATATAAATACGATTCGATTACCTATTCCATTAATTGCATAAATATTAATAAAATATTAATACTAGCAAAATAAATGCACTTACTATTGAAACTATAAACAACAACTATACAAATACTCGTACATAATTAATATGCTGTACAAACAAATCATTAAAGAATCAATTCGTTTAATTTCCAATCTGAATATAAAGAGCCACGATCAGCGGGAGCTTATCATTTATAAAATATAATTGATCATGACACACGGTATTTTATAATACATAGACTCATTGTTTTGACTTGAAACCACCTATATTATACAATATACAACGTGAAAATAATACTCAATTAGGATGACCTCCAAAGTATTTAGGTATACCATACGCTAAAAAAATACATTGTTAAGTCATACATGCATTCGATTTACTTTCAGTATTTTTTTCAACTTCAACAAAATGGAATTTAATTAATTGTAAAAATTTTACTTTAAAAAAAGTAATGTAATATTATTCTTCAAGCTAAACTTTTTTTAAATTTACATGTCTTGGCAGTTTTGGTATTGATAATAAGTTTTTGATGTTGTCTCGTTATTAAATTAGTGTTACAGTGCCTATTATCTTAACACAGACGAACTTCTGGATCACACCCATGTACTCAGCTTCGATTGCTACCTACGTTTTATACATTATATTTTCATGGTATATTTAATAGTTTGTACAACTCGATTGTTGTTGAAATTATTTATACAATTTTACGATTATGTCATATATACTACTCATATAATTCGTAGTCACATAAATATTAAGCAACCTCATCGTAGTATAATATGAATATTAATTTTATATTAAAACAAAGCATATGAATCAGCCATTTCTTGTCTTGTAATAAAATCTGTCATTTTATAAAGTTAATAAATAAATAATAAAAACTAAAATGTAATAATTTAAATAATATATATTTTAATCTACGATCAAGATCAACGCGGATCATTTTCGTTGGTAATGCATGATTATTATTTTTTATCTAGCGATACCTAAATACACAGTAACATACTCATTGGGGATATGATGAGGAAATTATCTAGCTATTGATGTTGTTTTCGTTTCAGTAAACCTTGAATCTATTATGAAAATTATAAAGTAGATAAATATTAACCTTGCAGTTTTAACATATAATTTTATAAAAAAATAATTTAAGAAATACAAATTTTAAGAAAATGTCAAGTATATTTATAAATACTTTTTGAGTTCCAGCGTCAAACTTTATAATTCTGTTTGGACTGATTTAATTCTTATGCAGAAATTATTTTTATCTTCAAAAATAAAGTACTATAATTAATAAATTACTCTATTAACCTTAGTAGTATACATAATAATATACCTAATACGTATATCACGGATATTAACCAAAAGTAAACGAAATATTAAGGTATTATTATAAGTATTATTTCTTTAAAAACTTTAGTACGAAATTATTTAACGCTTTTTAATTTTATATAATATGCGTTTTTGAAAAAAAAATGTTCGTATAACATTGACTACATCCATTTCTATCATTTTAGCTAATATTTTTTTTTTTGTATTAATTTAATATCTAAAATTCTGTGTTTTTATCGCTTTGATTGACAAATGTAACTTTTATATTAAAATATAAATGTGTATATGACTACCACAATCTTTTAGATTCAAAGTCACCTAACAAATTAATAAATTATCAAAATATATTATATTTATATCGAAAATGCATTAATTATACTACTTAGACTTCTTTTGAAAACAGTTTTAAATTTAAATTTACTCAAATCATATTACTCTAATTTAATTTCTAGATTTAAATAAAAAAATCTTACTGAACAAATACAACAATAATTTATTCTAATAAATAATTATAATCGTTTGATAGTGTTGCTTTAATGATATTAAATGAACATTTATTCTACATATTTTAGGCCAAGATTGTCCTGATGGCGTCCCTGTAACTTACGTTAAATATGGTAATGCGGCTCCAAGATCTGTAGTACAGCCAATTTTATTATATGCTAGTACTCCTGGAGTTGCAATTACAGCTGAATGTTACAACAGGTTATACGATTTTTTTTTCTTTTTTATTTATTTTACAATAAGCAAATGCTTTTTAATTATAGATGTAGAAAATCGGTAGATTGTGTTGGCTTTGTAATTGACTACACATCAACGTCATGTTATCGTGTTCCTAATATGGGAAGCTCCACTGATAATATAGTCGATACACCCAATGTGAACTTCTTTAGAAAAGCTTGTCTTCGAGGTCCGTATCTTCATCTAGACTTTATAAAGCTATACTGCACGTCAATATTAACAAGTACAAAACGTTTATCTTAGTTCCAGAATCTTGTAGTCGAAGAGCATGGCCGATTGAGGTCTCTATGGACTATGAAATCACTGGCTATCAATTTTCCGTCTTACCTAATATCGGCGATAAATGGCGATGTGCCCAATTATGTATTGACCAAAACAATTGTAAATCGGCCAATTACTATCGAAAAACTAAGATGTGTTCCTTAAATTCTGAAACTCGCAGAAGTAAACCTACAGCATTCAATCCAAGTCAGAATCAAGTGGAGTACTTGGAAAACGAATGTGCTACTACGTTACCAGGTTTTAAAATATAATTTGAAACATTTAATGGTTATTATATTTCATTATATTTATATTTCTAGTTGCAAATCAAATAAATTCATGCTGGCATGAACCTGTTTACGATAGAACATTACAACAAGTGGATTTACAAGTAGAAAACATTAATATTGAACAAGTGAGAAGTTTTTAAATTATATAGGTTCATCAATAAAAATGGCTAATGGTCGTTTAATATATTGTGTTATGTAGTGCAAAGAAAGATGTGAAACTGAACAATATTTTAGTTGTAGAGGCTATACTTTTAAATGTCCTACAGATGGGTTTGGAGGAACTCTTTGTCTTCTACACGGAGATGATACAAGCACAGCTGGTCCATTAATTCCATCACTTTGTTCCACTTATATGGAAAGAATTACTTGCATTGACTGTAAGACATTAACTTTTATGCTCGAAATTAATTTTTTCTATTGGCTTAAGTTATGAGCGTTGACAATCCTTATAATATTACATTAATATACAATTTAAATATATAACTGTTTTCAATTTTTCCATTTGTCTAAGAATAACAGTCGTGGCATTAAACTATTTACTGCCTGTAGTGTTTTTAATTTTTCAAAGCAAATAAATTTATTATAATACTTGTGTACAAAAATTGAATTTCAGTAAGCGTTTCGTGTAGCGATGACTCTATGCTGGTGTCATTGAGATCCCCAGGTTTCAAAGGTCGAATATTTGTATTAGGAAGACCAGAAGAATGTGGTGTTAATGGTCGTCATACTGATATCACCACAATAACTCTACCAATCGTAGAAAATCATATGCAACGCAACTATTGTGACGTAGTGGTGGCTAAATCAGCTAACACCAACAGAAAATTAGCCACGGCAGTTGTCGTAGTTCAACACCATCCAATAATACAAACTGTTGGCGATAGAGTTACAAAAGTGTCATGTGCTGTTGGTTCTAGTCCTAAAAATTCATTCTTAGGATCTAAGCCACAAAACATCACATTGGATGCCACGTTCGGTGTTGCAGAACCAAGGTATGTAGTTATGATGAGATTTAAAAACAATCGATAGACCAATGCGTTGTAAATTTTTAAACTTTAAGTGAATATTTACTTTAGCATTCACAACACAATATATAACGATGGTGGATATGACCCAAATGGCTTAGTTGGTTCGGCAAATCAAGTGGCCAAGATGCGAATTTTGGAAGTGGGACGAAACATAAAACAGGTATCGGAAGTAAAACTTGGCGATGAACTAGAACTTCGGATTGACGTAAACCAACCTTACAGTGAGAAACTGAGAGCTATGAACTTTATATTATATACTAGGTAATGTTTTCACAATTAAACTATTTTAGATGCAACGCATTTGAGAGCGGGTCACTTAGTTGCTAGTTCTGGAGATGGTCTCGACTCCTTATTGCTTTTAGACTGGAGAGGATGTCCTCCAGAACCATCAACATTCCCAGTTTTGAGATTATCACCACCGAACTCAATGGTTGCCCGATTCAGAGCATTCCGCTTTCCCTCGTCACCTGTACTTCGGTTTAGTCTCATGATGATGTTTTGTGACCAGGCGTGTAAACTAGTAAGTACAATTAGTCAATATTCTACACTGAACTTATATTTCACTTTCAAATTTCTTAATATTTTTTTTTTACTTTTTTGTACAGAGTGATTGCGGAAACGGACAAGTGTCTTATGGTCGAAGAAAACGCGATGTACCCCCAACAAAAACCAATACAAAGGAAGTTCCATTACAGCTAGCAATTGTAGTACGGTCCCTCGAAGAACAAGAAGAAATTATAGCTAGTCAAAGTCAACTTAGCAGTAGTAATAATAATAATAATGAAAGGTCATCAAGAAGATTAGAAATTCCAGGTTTGATTCAAATTTTAATTTTAATTTAGCTAACATGAAGCTAAAGCACTCTAATTATATTATTTTTATCATGTATTAATTCTTAATTTAATTTTTACGCTTTAACAATTATATTAATAGAAATGTGTAGAAAATTTCTCAAGAAATTCGATACATGGGCATAAACTTAATCATCGGTCGTTGGACATATTTTCTCTCTTCTGTTTAACAGTCCATGAGTGAACATTTTTACTCCATTATATGAATTTAATAGAAATCTAGATTCCGCTTAATACATAACTCGGAAAGGCAGTATTTGTTAAGTTTATTTATAATTATACATTAAGTTTTTACTATATATGACAAAAAATCAGTTTTAAATTTAAAATGCAATAAATATGATATTACGAATGATTCTAGTGTATTCAGTAGTTCTAATAACTTTTTTTTATAGTCATATATATGTATGATTTTAGCATCTGGCTATAGTAAAGTCAGTAATAAAATTTCCAATATTTTAGTATTTTGAACTTTTCACATTTTTTTATTATTTATATTATAGTATTTTAAATATTTCGGACTTCAAATGATATTCAATATATTTATTAGGTTTTAGTATCTAATTACTTTTAACTGGTATTGAATAAATTAAATGTACTGTTTTAAAGCTCTAATTTTTTTTATACAGTGATTCGTAACAATGAATGGTGCATCACTTGGCCGACTGGATTAGCAATCGTTATAGTTCTACTCACTATGCAGACAATGATTGTAATGGGTTGTTGGTCATTTTTTCGACGTTCAAATCAGAAATCCATTAACGATCGCGTGACTTTAAACTCTGACTTTCAACCAAGACATGTCACTTGGGCTGATCATCAATAACTTCTATTGAACACTGTTTTGTTAATACAACATTTACCATTTATTGAATATATATATATATTTAACTTACTAACTTAATGTACAAATTATTTTATATCTAAAAAAAATATTTATCAGAATGATGTACTTAATTAAAGGTTATTTTCATATTACCTCTTATAATTTATGTATTTATAATTTACAATAAGCATATTTTGAATATTATCAATATCAATAAATCTATCAGTTGATTAAGACATAATTTTATTAATAATTATAGCATAATATAAGATATAAAGTACTACCGAATAATGATTTAACATAATTAAACCACGATTTACACTTGGTTTCTACAAATAATATTAATTATTTTTATATTTATTTATAGGTTATATGATTATAAATTATTTATATTGTAATTAGTCTTAAAATAAAGTATTTTTAAGTATTTACGAATTTTAAATACCTGTTAAAAATCTTAAAAAATTAAAAGCTTCTTTAAATAATTATTAAAATCATATAAATTTATCTTACCTCAACATTTTACAATTTTAATACAATTTATTATTTATCATTTATCCACAATCGTGTTATAAAAAAAAAGTTGAAAAATTTAATTTTAAAATTATATTTTTTTTTCCAATAATTTTCAGATGAACAGGCCAACGAAATCCAAAAACAAATTAAAAGTTAAAGAATATGATAACTTATCGTGTACAGCTGATAGAATAATACAATAAGTGCAGTCTTATAATTTACTAAGAAGTCAAAATATTACAACAATATTTGTTCATGCACAAACTTTTTCTTTGTAAAATATAATTCTTTACTTTTTCATACTTACGAAAATAATAAAAAATATAATTTGTCAAAAGTATTACAAAACAATATAAGTTAAGTACAAAAAACAATAACCCAAAAAAATATTTAATTTGTCATAATTTGTGTAAATACCGAGCACAAATATAAATTAGGTACCTTATGCCATTGATTACCTACTAATATACTTACTAATATATTTAATTATATTTATTCATTTATAAAATAGGTACTATATAATAGGGTTATCATATTTTATTTAGTAAATACAGGGACTTTTTTTTTTCGTTTCCCTATTGACATAACTTTTATTGATTTTTTTGATTATACAATTATTACAACACACATTATAATATTTTAAGCTAACCTAATCAACGATCTTCAATTGATATATAATGCCATTTTTCACTTTGTTCTTTGAAATAGTTATCAAACATTTAAATTATACAAAAAAAAAGCTTTTCGTTGATACAAATCGAATTACACAATTTCGTCAGTGAATTATTCAACTTTTTATTTTATCATAACAGTATTATGTTTTTCAACTTGGATTTTAATAAAATACAAACATAAGTACATTATTGAAGTCTTATTCCGAAATAATTGGTTGTCCCATTACATACATTATCAGGATACCAGGACACCATACTCAAAATCGGTACTCTCCCGGCCTAACCAAGAAGTATGGCAACCCTACTATGAAAAGTTTATCAATTATGTGATTGTTCATACAATGACTTCAATTAACATATTATTACAATGCTCGCATAATTGTGTGTACATATGATTATGCTAATAATGACATATAAACATATATGAATTATCATAGTTTGCAATGTTGTTGGTAAAAACTCATTCATAGGGGTATACAAAATTTTTTAAGATAATGTCGATGTACCTAAATATATGGTTTCAATAAATATTTCAATTTAATTGTTAATATGATTATGTATTAGATTCTGATTATTTTACTACTGCTTGGGTTTTCCGTTTACTATATATTATATTTTAAATTAAAAAAACAACCATCAATTATATTTTATATTTATTTTTAATATTCAAAAGTAATTAACAATCTGTATCCATACTAGACACAATAAGAAAATATGATAAAGGTTAACATATCATGAGGTTTTATTGAAAGAAGCCACCCATTGATAGCACTATCTACTAACTTGATAATTATTTATTTTTATTTATTTATTTTTTTTTTTTTTTTTTTAATTATTTTTAATTTAATTTAATATATAATATATAATTTATTTAATTTAAGAGATCTCTAGACCACTTACGCTTCAGACGTCTCGGAGGATTTCCAGGTATTGTGGGAGTGGCCAAGTTTTTTATTAATTGATTAGGGTGATTATTTAGACGGTAATAGAATCTTTTGTAAAAGATTTTAGCTTCATCATTTATTTTATTAAGTTTCAAGTCGGTGTGTAGTGTATGATTTGACACATAAGGTGGAGCATTCGTTAGTTTTCTAAGCACGATATTTTGAAAGGTTTGGATTTTCAAAATATTTGTCTTTTTCGCATTGCCCCAAAGCTGAAGGCCGTAGGTCCAAAGTGGTTTCAATAGTGTTTTATATATAAACAGTTTAGTTCTAAGAGAGGTGTGATTATCATTGGATAATAATGGTTTAAGTAATCGAAGACGATGATTCAATGCTAATCTTTTGGTTCTGATATGATGAGCCCACGTTAATCTTTGGTCTAACGTAAGGCCGAGGTATTTGATTTTTGGAGAGTAGGGAATTGGAATTCCATATAGGACAACACCAGGACAAGGAGTATGTCTTAGGGTAAAGGTTGTGTGGACGGATTTATTCTGGTTAACTTTAAACCGCCATTTTGTAAACCATTTTTCCATAGCATTAAGGTGAGTTTGAAGATTTATTGACGCTAAGATTGGATTTTTGTTAATGGATATTAGTGCTTTGTCATCAGCAAAGTCAGCTACAGATGTGTTGGGGGTAATAGGTTGATCAGATGCAAAGATGTTATAGAGAATTGGAGATAGGATTCCACCTTGAGGCACACCAGCATTTATAGAAGCTAGATCAGATAGAGCGGAACCGTGGCGAACTTGAAAAAATCGATCCGTTAGATAGGATTTGATAAGTAAATAGTAAGTGGGTGGAAGGAATTTCTTAAGTTTATATAAAAGGCCATCGTGCCACACCCTATCGAAGGCTTGTGCGATGTCTAGGAACACACAGTTGCAATAAAGTTTTTTTTCCAGGGAATACGAAATAGCATCTACGACTCTGTGCACTTGGTGTGTGGTTGAGTGAGACGCCCGAAAGCCGAATTGAGTATTTGGAAGGATATTCTTTTGAGTAATGATAGGTATAATACGTTTCAGAATTAATCGTTCAAGTATTTTAGCGAAAAATGGGAGAAGGCTAATTGGTCGATGTGACGATGGAATGTCCGGCGGTTTATTTGGTTTAGGGAACAAGATTATAGTGGAGAATTTCCAAAGTAGAGGAAAATAAGAAAGTCTAAGTGAAGCATTAAATATGTGAGTGATATGAACGATAGCTCTAGTTGGAAGGGATCTGGCTACTTCCGCAGTAATGCGATCATCAATTATATAAATAATTTTTTAGTGAATTATTGCTTCATAATATTATATTCCACTAAAGAATTATTTTTGTTTCGAAATCTTTGGTTGATGGTTCTTACATCAAATTTAGTTGTCCATGTTTATTCAATGTACTTATTTTAAATGTTATACACACTTTATTATACTCATATTGTACATAGCTAACCAATGTAATAACAATATTTAATAAAACACTGACAAGCACGAAATTATAAATATATTCTCCCAAAATTACGTTATACAATTTAAAATGGGTAAACAGAAATATTTTGAAATAAATGTTCAGTTTCCCACGTAAAAACGAGTATAACTACAAACTGCAGTGTTCAATAAGGTCACTGATCAGTGTTTTCAGTAAATATAATAGGTACCATTAATTATACAATATAAATACTGCAATCAATGACGTGCTTAAGAGAAAGGGGATTATCCTGTAGAGAGCCGACTTCGAAAATTTGACTCCCAGCGATTTAACGACGAGTTCTACCTTTGTTGTGTTTAAATAACGCATGGTTATCTAATCCATTGTCGATCTATCTAGTACTATAAAAAGGAATAATTATCACAGAGTGAAGAAAAATATTTTACATACCGATGAATCAAGGCAATTAGAGGATGCGATAGATCAGAATGTATGGAGCAGCGCCGCATTTAGGGGAGGGGCACTGGCTACAACTGCTCCGGGCGTCAGTTTTTTGAAGGCCCCAACATTTTGTGGTCGGAAATTTGCTCACTTGTGAATTATTGAACTATTAAAATTATTTTGAAATTATTATTATTTTTTTGTTTTTAAAAACAATATCATAAATTAATGTTAATGTATTATACTGTTTGGAATATAGCTATCAGCGGTTCAGAATATTAAATTATACCTAATATTAGTTCCCAAATTTGTTGTGATAATATCAATAAATATAAGTTATTTATAATAATACGGCGTATTATGTTATCGCGTGCGGCATGCCTACTACACAAAAATAGCATTGATTTTAAAATACTTAAAAGTTCATGAGGATCTATCTCCTATATTTTCCGTGGGTAGACCCCTTAGAGGGACGCTAATTTTTTTATTTGCGCCGGGGCGCAAAATGTCTAAATGCGACACTGGTATGGAGAGACTTGGTTAAAGCGTAAAAAGCCTCAATGGCCTATAAGACGTCGTATACTTTCAAAATTATTTTGAAAATTCACGGGTATACTAAATATACTTTCAAGTTTTAAGCACATCTCGAACAAGTACTAAATATAATTAATTTTACAGGTTTTCATTTTGGCCTTATTTTATAATAGACATTAAAGCGTAGTTTACACGATGCTGATTTACTAGCAACTAGTAAGCTAGTTCACTATATGATAGTAAAATAGCATTTTCTAGTTAAGTGTGCTAGTAAACTAGCAAACTATTTTAATAGCAAACTAGTTTGCGAGTTAAGTTGAAATATATAAACTTTACTAGCAAACTAGCGCGCTTTTTTATCTGATACGAGTAAAAATAGTACCACGTAATAGGGCACTAGTTGTTTATTTTGTACTAGTAGCTTGTATTTCCCCGACAGTGTGTGTGAAAACATTAAAAACGATACCGAATATTCATTATTCAGTTATTATTCAGATATTATAATAATTTTTAATTATTTATTGTTTCTGTTAATTTTCTTTTTAAATATATTATTATTAACAAATTCATAATGAGTCATTTTAAAGCGAAGTGGAACAATGATGATATTTTCCAATTTCTTGG